CAGCATTGCGTACAGACAACTAACGGATCATTAACCGAGAACTAACTAATGGATAATAATTTGTAAATTGATAGTTGTGGCTATAATTTCCCGGTACTTAATAGTTGTGGGTAATAAATTGTATTTACCCTCTTTTTTTTCTTACCACTAAACGAGTTTCATTCGAACTTACATTTTTTTCCAATTTAGTCGAACACGAAACACCTTAACTACTTCGACGATAATATCATTGACATGTATATTAATTAAAATATTATATTTATTTCCTTGCTTGGTTGCATGAGAATATATTCCACATGGTTATGGCACATATCCTAAATGGTAAATTTTCCCTCTTGGAACAATTAGGGCTTCTCCGGTCAGTCAAAACCCTATTCTCTATCGTTCTAAACTAGCACAGGGCCCGGCCTTTTGGCCGGAAGACACTGATACTTGCATATAATTGTGTTCGACTTAAAGGTACGCATGAGATTGGTAAGTTGATTACTAATAATTTATAAAAATATCCAAAATATTTGAATGATAATAGTCTATGAAATTCCTAACAACGTATTAAAAATATGTTAAATTATATGCATGTACCTAATATATTTAATCAACAAAGATACTGAAACTTCTAGTTTCAATGCATTATTGTAAATTATTGAAGCTGTAGTAAAATTAAAATTTCAAAATTTAAAATATATCAAAACGGATATGTCATTGCATAGGTTATATCAATGCAACTCATTTTTACAAAAATAAAAAATCCAAATCTAGTTTCATAAAATATGACCAATATAATTTTTAAGAGAAATATTTGTTGTGAATAAGCATAAATTTTACTTAAATAATAATTGAATCACGTAAATATTCACCAAAGGTTGAATGAATTCTACAATGTGTGAATTAGGAGTTGTCGCTCTTTAATTAGGTGCCACCAAGCCTTTTCCATGTAAAAATCAATTCCAACGCTTGATAAATCGTACTGTAGTGGTTGTACCAATCAACAGACTAATATAGATTATTCATAAACTAGTTGGTCTCAATTAACTCGAGTTGTTGGGAGTTGGATCTTATATCATTCTCTAACACGCCCCCTCAAACGAAAACCAACTCATGGGTTTGAAGTTTGCACAGGCCCACCATACCTTGTGCTTTAATCAACTGTTAATATTGGGGGCCGTGGAGATTCGAACACACGGCCACTTGGTCAAACCAGCTCTGATACCATGTCATGAATCAGTTGATCTCAATAACTCGAGTTGTTAGGATAAGGTTATGTTGGATCTTATACCATTCTCTAACACGGTCAACATCTCAAAATTTTATTATGTAAATTAAAAAAAGAGTTGTAAAATTACTTACGATAACAGACAATATACTAATATTTTGATGCGTTACAAAAAATTTGGCTAATATTTTCTATCTCGAAAGGTTTTGCTAATGATTTGGAAAATTTTGAAGGATTTTTTATAATAAATTGTATTTAGCATTCTTTTTATCTAGAAAATAGAGGGGGCAATAAATAGGATGTTGGCTCTATATATCCAGCTCCCTTCATGCACACAAACACACATACAGTCATTCCAGCGACGCCATAGTCAAGAGAAATCGAGAATTACAACTCAACTCCTCTAGCCATTGGGGTTTTCATTTTCAACAGCTAATTGTGTGTTGTAGGCAACTACAGAAAATGATGAAGGGGCACAGATTCTTGTAGCTAATTAATATTCATGATGTAAAGATAACTTTCGTTACGTAAGGCTTTCGTTATGGCATTTTATAACTGTCGTAAAATACACATTTATTATGTAAAGGTTACGAAACGATAATTATTTCTTACGTAACAGTTAAATCAGAAGCGTTACGTAAGGCTTCCATAATGACTTAACATTTTACGTAATGCGTGGTTAATACTCATTACGTAAAAGGACCTTCCATTACGTAAAGGTTACGTAGTATTTCTTACGTAACAGTTAAATCAATAGCGTTACGTAAGGCTTCCATAGTGACTTACCATTTTACGTAACGCGAGGTTAATACTCATTACGTAAAGACACATTCTATTACGTAATAGTTCCGTAATGATCTTTTACAATAGTTACGTAAGATTACCATATGTTACGTAACCAGTGGCGAAGCCACTTGGAGGGTTGGAGAAAAAAATTCCGAGTAGGGGTATATACAAATTCGAACCTGTGACCATTCAATTGCAAGAAAAATTTCTTACCATCTCGACCGAGTGAGTTTTGTTGTGCAATGCACTTTCGTCTTTATTTATTGTAATAAATTGTTGTCTTTTGTTTAAACTCGCTCATTTCTTTTGTAGCTCTACAACAGAGAAATTCCTTGTCTTTTGTTTAAACAAAGCTGAAAGTGAAGAAGTACCAATTAAAGTTAACTTGTTTGTTTCACAAAATCAATTCCAAGGTACTTCTGAGTTCTAATTTGTAATATTTGATGAATGAAAGTCTTGACTTGTATGTACTGAACTTATTTGTTTAACGTTGTAACCGGTGTACGTGAAACTATTTTAATGTAATTGTATGAATTTAGAGTATTGCGTTGTTGACTTTTCTATTGTATAGGTGATTTTTTATGCTATTAAAAAAAACATATTATAAGAGGTGTAGATAGATATATCAAACCGAATAGTTTTTTAATTTTGTTACCCACCTTCATTTACTCCTAATGCTGCCTACCGACTACCGAGTACCATCCCTTTAAATTGGTATAAGATATTCAATTATAATTAATATTTACTCTAATTTACCCCACCTTTTGCTTATAGCTATACCCACGGGGCTACATCTACGTAATTAATAATTTACCCCACCTTTTGCTAATATTTTAATTAATAATTATAACACACCCTTATTAATTGAAGCATATTTTCTTATTCTAACTTCTTCTTTTGTGGCCGTAAGTTTTTTAACTTCTTTATCACAATTTTGTGCTAAAGAATGAATAATCTATTATGTTTATAATCTTAAAGGGCGAGTTCGATAAAAAAAAAATTCTAAATCAATAAAGAACCGTCTACAAAGAGCTCAGTTAATAAAATTAAAATGTTCATAAATAAAAAAAAATATAAAAGTATGAAATAATACCTGAAATAAGGTAAGTGAGATTTACAATTCCATATATATTACCTTAGCAAACATAAATAATAATAACAATTAGAATACTATAACGAATTATAAAACAACCAAACAAAATACACCGCCCAACGGGCGGGTAAAAAACTAGTACCTAATTATTTAGTATTGGAGACAAACATCAGCCACATCAACAATAGTTTGCTGAGTCATTAAAGGTAAGAATTTTTGACCGTCAATTTTAACGGTCAACTCAAGTTTTGGGCCAAATTTGTCCATTAGTTTGAAAAGAATGTCATAAATGTCTTATTGAAAAAGTCAGGCCACAACTATCACTTGCGCTAAACTTTGGGCCAAACTAGGGTATTAATCCAAGAAAGATTCAGTCTTTTTACTATTCTTTGCTGCAGATTCTTACATAAGTTACATATACTGTTACTTCATTGTCCATCTTCAGAGTCAACATCTACATCTAGTCATCTACAATAGTACAGAGGGGTCGTTTGGATGGATCTTTTGTATGAGGCAATTTGATCCAATTGACTCAAAATGAGACATTTGGACCAAATTGTCTCGTTTGGCAACCCAAAAGTAAAATGAGGCATTTTTGTATGGGGCAATTACAATTGGTTCGTTAGGGTACAATTCAAATTACCTGGTGGAGGGGTAGGAAATCTCAATTGACTCATTTTTTGGTGGTCCCTTACAATTTTAACCTTTTCTTTTTCCCTTCCTCTCTTTGCCGAGACCCACACCCACCATTCTTTTTCTTTCTTTCTCTTTCCTATTGACTCTCCTTTTCTCCTCTTTCTTCTGGACAAAACTGGGGTGAGAAATTTGCACAAGACAAGGGCAAATTAGTATTTACCCAAAATGACTAACCCACATTTCCTCATCTTTGCAACCAATTCCAAACGAAACATTCTGATCAAATTTTCTTAAACCAATTGACTCATTTTCTAAAATGAGTCTTTTGTTCCCAATTGTCTCGTTTTGACAATGATCCATCCAAACGACCCCAGAGAGCAATCAACCAAGCCTGCAAACCACTCTATTAATCCTTCTTCAGCCCAGCTTCAGCCTCGCAACAGCCCGCTTCGAGAGACCACATTTCACCATCACAAGGCCTAACGATTGGAATGTGTAATCATCCGGCATAACTCCTACGCCGTCATCCAACATCTCCTTGAACGTCGCCACAGTATCGTTGAACCTTCCGTTCCGTCCAACTAGTACAAACCGTTCACGCTGTTGTAGCTCAACAGGTTTTCCTGGCAAGCCGGATTTCCTCATTGAGTCTATGTATCCGATGGCTTCTTCTGTGCTTCCAGCTTCTGCAGAAGCGTTTATCAAAATCCCATATACAATGACGACTGGCTTCACGTTGAACTTGATCATTTCATTGTACAGCTTCTTGGCAATGTCTAGTCTTCCTGATTTGGCAAAGCTAGAGATCACAGCGCAGTGTGTAATGCAATCGCTACCCAATCCTGCTTCTAGCACCTTATTGAGATACTGTTGTGGCTTTTCAGCCAAGTGTGCTCCCGCCAAAATATGGATTAGAGAGCCATAACTACACCTTTCTGAAATCAAATCGTGGCTTTCGATGCTATCAAACAACCCACAAGCCTTGATAAAGTTATTGACGTAGCCGTATGCTTTAATTAGAACGTTGAATTCTAGTATACTCAACCTTTTATTCTCTTATGAGCAAAGAAAAACCTCCTCGGCATCTGAAATATACCCACGCTATCTCCATATGCATCAATATTGACAGAATAGCATTCAGAGGTCATATTTCCCAGTTCGGTGGAACCTCATGAACCACAGCCATGACTTCTCAACCATTCTCGCGTCTATGTACATTCGAGTCAAAGCTGACTGTGTATACTCGTCGATCTCCAAGCCCTTTTCATCCATTTATGATACTAGATCCTCGGCTTCGCAAACCATGTGCCTTATGGAGAATGCATACAAGAGAGTGCGATAACTCGCTAGGTCTGGCTCTAGCTGTTCCTCTTTCACCTTCCTGAAGTATTGAGCTGCCATCTCTATATCATCGTGCTTAGCATGGATAGAGATCAGAATGTTGTACGTTCTAGTGTCTGCTGGACACCGAAGCTCCTGCATTTTTTGGATGAGGGATTTGACTTCATCGAGATGGCCATTGTTACCACAGATGTGAATCATGGTGTTGAAAGTCACGGTTGTAGGCACAATCCCCTTGCTCAGCATCTCCGAGAAGATGTCGGATGCTTCTTTGAGTTGACCTGATTTTCCATACGTGTCTATCATGGTATTGTACGTGTATAAGAATAAGCAATGGTTGTCATGTGAAGAATCACTACCCCCACGTTCACCCATTTCCCAGTGCTTGAAAAAGTCTTAAACTTTCTGAAACTCACCGCCACCGGACTTCTTGTACATTTGCAGCACTATCCCCATGGTCACTTCATTAGGCGGCATTCATTGCTGGTTCATCTTCTCCAACCAAGAAAGCGCCTTCTCTTTGAGGCCGCCTTTACTATAGACATCAATTAGAGTGTCGTAAGTAGAATTAATGGGTGTAATATTCCTTTGACGGCCATTTCATGGCAGAGAGATTCGAGGAGGCTCCACTTTTTGTCTCTACCGAGAATTCTCAGCATGATGTTGTAATGGATGACATTCAGCTCGTAACATCTCTTGCTCTTGAAACACTCGAAAATCTCGAAGGCTTTCTCCCAATTTGATTGCTCTTTCAAGATTATGCTCCTCTCTTTGTTGCTGAGCGTATCCTCACAAGGACGCAACGCCTCGTCCAAGTCATTTACGCTTTCCAAAGCCTGAAGAATGAAGGGGATGCAACCTACGTAAGTGGTCCATTTTGTCGAACACTTGGTGTGCTCTTTTCTCGATGGAACATCACTTTTTAACCCGTTCAATTTCTCACCAAGATTCTTCCTTTTCCCAATAACAGACTCGTTCAGCGCAGCTCCCCTCTGTCTTTTCCGATTCAGAGCCCAGAACAATTCCTGATTTCTGGTTCTTCCCGTTTCTCCGAACTCCGTTGACCCTTTCTGTTTACGAAGTTTCCCCAATTCTCTATTCTACGAGCTTCACAGCCTGTTCGACTTTCTCAAAGTTAGAAGCTGGAACTCCGCCCTTCGCGGGGACGGAGACGCCGACATTTGGGGACGTGGTGTTAGAAACCGAACAGAAAAATAGGATTACAGATCTGGCTGAGTCACGGACTAGGTTGCTCTCTTTAAGATGTTCGTGGCACTGCCTCGTTATTCGCACAGCAGACTATCAGTCGGTCGCCTCCAGGATAAAACAGTCACTCTTTTGATTTGCTCAGCGGTTTTGTGCGGAAAACCGGAGCTCTTTGAATCTCACTCTCTCTCGTGTTTTTGCTCTTCTGAGGTGTGTTTAGAGGGTCTGGGGCGTCTCCTATTTATAGGAGAAGAAAACCCAGAATATTCCCTCTTTCTTTGGGAATAAGTCATATTTTAATTAGGAAAATAATTACTCACATAATTAAAATATAATCTATTAAGATAATTATTCCTAATTATCTCCATAATATTCCTTTTTATTAATTATCCATCTTATTTATGTATTATGGGAAAATACTGGATAATTAATTAGGAATTTCATTTATAGCTTTTCAAAGCTATTCATCCCAACAATTACCCACTTGAATAGTTTTGAAACTATCTTGAGCATCAACATTTCCATAAGATCGGGCATAAGCTAAGGTATCACGAAGATTTGAACCTTAGCGTAGTGGTTACACTTCCGATTTCATAAGGGTGACTCGTAGTCTTGAACCCTATCTCAGACAATGTAGCACACCGGATCTTTTCATTGAGTGATATTCTCTCATAGGCCATGCGTTTATGGCCATGCACGTTATCCCGGTTAGTGAACGCTCTAACAACTTTGTGCCTTCAAAGTTCCATAGGGAACGGCCTCACTCCCACATTCACATAGGTGAGTCTATTAGAAGTACCCCCAAAGTAAAGTACTTCACTCCACATAGAGTATAGATCTCATTAAGAGTTTAACTCAACCTCCAAGGCTTTGGGATTCATGCTTCACCATGCATGAACTTTTCTCAATATTACTCATGACTTGTTATTACCCATTGAACCTGTTTATTGGGATCTCCAGTCTATCGGGTCGGGTTACCATCACTTGTAATCCGTGATTCGGTAGACATAAGTCTTATACCCATAGCGGTACTTTAGACTTTCTCTCTAGATAATCCTTTCGTCAAAGGATCAGCTAGATTCTGTTAGGACCTTACAGGATCCATCCTCATTGCTCCTATCGTTAGGAGTTCTCTTACAGTACTGTGCTTACGACAAATTTGTCGTCTCTTTTCGTTCTAGAACCGGTTCCCTTCTTTAGTAATAGATGCGACGCTATCACAATGAATCAACTACCGGAGGGATCTGTCTTTCCCATAAGGGAATCTCTAGTAATGACCCTCTCAATCAACTTTTCTCTTTACTAGCCATTGCTAGCTCTATCATTTCTGATTTCTTAGTTGATTGAGCCAGGATCGTTTACTTCCTAGACTTCCAAGACATAGCTTCTCTATCGATGTTTAAAACAGATCCTCGTTGTCTTGGAGTCCTCTATAGGGGTATTCTAATCCGCATCACTATACCCTACCAATACAGCAAGAAACTGTTGATAACATATATCAAGGCCTACTGTTCACTTAAGGTATCTCATGACATTTTTCAATAGCATTTCAATGCTTCATACTAGAACAATCAATAAGCCTGCCAAGTACCCCCCACTAAATCGGGTCTCATGTTTATTAGCTGCCTCTCACAGACTATAAATGCTAGTATATTCTAACTTTCTTACACCGTCTTAGGTGTTCTTTAAATATGTATACTAGCATCATCAAACATGTATGCAAGTGTACATCTTGTATTTTTCTAGTTATTAGGATCTCTAAGCATAACATTTGTTTCATTTAGATCCTTCACATTCAAAATTCTCAACCATCATGGTTTTTCAATATTGACATCACAAGTCTTTGTACCAAAGATCAACGTGTCATGCAAATGTCATTCTCAAATTAGTATTAAATGCACTTGTCATTCTTAAAACCATGAGAGAGAATCTGATTTTTCACGTCATTGTTTTAGAGTCATCTTCAAATCTTACCATGATTTGTCTAACCATAGACTCTAAAAGCATGTTCAGGAATAACAACCCTATAGGTTGTCCCATGTAGATTTTCCTATCTAAATCACCATCACAGAAACATGTTTAACAATCCATCTGACGCACAACACTAGCAATCAGAACATACATGGATGTTATTCTACATATGGTGAATAGATAACAAGAAAATTTACAATTTTTCCTTTTAGCTTAAAGCCTTAGCTATTAGGCGATCCTTATACTCATAAACTAAACCAATAGGTTTCACTTTTCTTTTAAGAATTCGTTTATTACCCATGATTTCATTGCCAAGAGGTAATTCTCAAAGATGCCAAATCTTGTTCGATTCTATCGATATATTACCCAAGACTTTTCAACCAAGAGGTAACTCTACAAGATTTTAAGTCTTATTAGACTCCAATAATTCCATTTTGTTAATAATGGATTCTCCCACAATTCTGCATCTTTATGGAAGTTCGAACTTCTAGCAAACTTGTAGGATCTTTCTTTCTTAGGGTGTAAATAACAAATTCATAACCAAAATCCTTTCGTGATTTATGGTTCATTTGTCTCTTCTGAGTTCATACTCAGATTCATCACCCCCACTAGTTATCCATTATTTCTAATAGCAGGCAAGATATCACCCCCACTATTTCTAGATTTAAATGGAATGACATCAATAGATTTCACATAACCATGAGTATTTCATTCCATAAGCTTATGTGTTTTATTATAGCTTATCTAACACATTCATATGCTCTACTAGATATCGATATCATATTACACTGATTCTATAACTCTACCACAAGCATGCAACATATCAAATAATCAGTGCAATCATCAATAATGCGTTAAAACCTTTCAAACTCGAGCATCTCAAGTAACTAGACATACAATCAGAGTACTCTATAAAACAATAAATAAATTATTGCCTTTCCATCACATTTACCCATATCAAAATAAATCAGATCTATTGATTCTGATTAACTAATCACTTATTTATGGGTCATTTAGCTTGGAAATACAAAATTCATATTTTTTCTCAAGCATCCAATAATAATATGGGAATGTGATATAAGATATTCTAATTCTTCACACAGACACACTTGGAAGAATTTATCTTATCTACTTAACCATTCCTTACGTCTAGTATAGTCAATGACTTTCTAGAGGTAGGGTTCTCTTCCACTTTCTCAGAACCAACAACAATAGTGGTGCGGGTCTTGCCCAACAACACTCTCCTTCAATATGCCTCAATGCATTATTGAGCTTAGCTACTTTATCAGAAGCATGCCTTGAGGCGTCAATATCCAACCACCATTTTTTCGGAACTGCCATTAAGGCCTATCACCCAATTAGTGATTATTACCCCCAAATCCTCTTATTTAGTCAAGTTAGCACTAGGTTAAACTTGTTCTTACACTTTCATGTCTTATGACCTAGTTTCTCACAAATTTAAGAGAGAAACATAGCGTCATTCTTAGAGGATTGGGTGACAATCTTATAGTTACCACAAAGGGTACCATTCTATTTGGTATGGATCTAGTTCGGCTTGTTGCTCTCATGCTCTAAGCTTTAAGCTTTCAGAGCAACATAAGTGGTTCATTTACTGACAATTCCTCTTTGTTGTCACTATGGGCAATTGACCCATTCTATTCCCATACATTCTTAATTTGTATAAACAAAATCATTCTATTCCATAACATGTATTCAATTTTCATATTCTAATCATCGAGGTAACATGTCTCGATGTCGCCTTAAACATGCATCAATTCTATTTTACTTTCTTGCATTTATATAGTTTCTCAATAAAATGCATAAAACTCAATGGAATAGATTCTTATTTATCATATATTATTGACTCTCGAGGACGGTTTCAGTTCTTACCTCTTTTGAGAAACCATTGCATTCTCATTTTGCAACGAGTGGCTAATACCATGGTTTGCTTCTTTCTTCCTCGTTCGGTTTGTTGGTGAAACTTCAACGTAGCAGTACTAGTATAGTCGTGACCCTTTATGGCTGCTACTACCAATTCTATTTTCTGAACAAAATGAATCAATCCAAAACACCTTTCCATCTCTCTGTGGCTCACCCACAACAAAGATCCTAATGGAAGGGATAAAGGGAGGCGCCTTTTACTGATGAAGAAACCGCCACTTTTTCCCAAACTTATTGATGCCATACTTTTCCTGGTT